TGACCATTTCCTACAGCACTTGAGGCTTCTTTCAGACATTTGCCTGTCGCTTGGACTTAATCTTGCTTAAAAGGTTAAGCAAAGCAAAACAAAAACACCTTAACATGGAGGAAAACCATTGGATACAAATCATTTTAAGTTGGGCCTGGAGTCCCAGGTATACAGGAGGCCAAAGCAGAATGACTGAAACCTGCCTGGGATACAGAGTGAGTTCAAAGCCAGATGGGCTACTTAGCAGGACCCTAACCTCAACTTACAAAATAGAAGTGGGGCCAGCACAGTTGGAGAGTTTGCTTTGTGTGTGTGAGGCCCTAGATTTAATCCCTATAGCCACACAATTGCAAACCAAAAAAAGGTACCAGACTCTGTTACAGGTGTTCTGTAAATACATAACAATGCTCTCCATTCCCATGGTGACCACCGCCTTGGAGAGAAAGGAACAGAACACCCAAGTTCATTGCTATAAGGCTGAGATCGACTCTTTGCTGTTCTGTGTAGGTTGTCTGAGTCTCACACACAAAGAGATTTTCTGACATGCAGGTACAACAGCCAAGAAGACGTCAGACATCCACAAGCAGCCAAAACAACTCCTAAATCACACACTCAAACATTTTTACAGATGTTCCTGACTTGTTTTCAAAAGAATTTAGTAATCCCAGCACTTGGGAGGCAGAGGCAGGTGGATCTCTGAGTTTGAGGACAGCCAGGGTTGCTGTTGCAAGAGAAATACTGTCTTGAAAAATCAAAAAGGAAAAAAAAGGATAATTTAGGAGCAAAGTAAAAAATTACATACCTCTCTAATCTTGATGTGGTTATTGTCCCTTGGTAGCACTTACAGTTACATTCAAAATCAGTAATTTAAACTTTACCCGCTTTAATCATTCAGTTGACAACCAAATAGTTTTTTAAGTATGTTTTTTTTTAATAATTGAGACTATCGTACAGTGTATTTTGATCATAATCACTCCCAATTCCTCCCAAATCCCACTCTGCCTCCTACCTTACCTTTAATTCTATAACCTCTTCTGCTTCTTTTTTTATTATAAACATCTATTTTAATAATTCAATCAAATGAAATACTTTATTTGTAAGTCTCAAGTGAAAGTGAGATCCAAAAACTACTGTCCAAAAGCACCATCCCATTCCCTGGCTCCCCCGGGACGTGGTTGTTTTGTCTTTCTAGGCTTATATATCCATGTATACATGGCATTCAGGGTAGTGCCACGTCCAGATGATGATAACCTTTGTCTGAACCTCAACTCTGAAGACAGTTTTTAAAGGATCATATTGAGTGGGTATTTTTGATTTTGTGAATAAAAAAAGAGGAAAAGGATTTAATTCAAAATACATAGAATTACTTAGATTCTAACCATTTAAAATTGGAAAAAAATCTTAATTTCTGTGTCATGAAGAAACAGGTGACCTAGTTTAGGTGATGGTCTAGTTTGCTGGTCATTAGTATTAAAAAAAGACTGAAGTTGGGTTTCCCGGGAAGCTGATGTGGCCAAGACAAATGAGCTGGTGTAGAGTAGCTTTCCTTTGGCACAGAAAAGAGAGAAATAGTGATGAGCCAGTAAGTAACCTCACTGAAATATCTACATACCATGCTTTAAAAGAAGCCCATGGCTGCCTTTTAAAACTATTCACCACTTTCCAAAAATTATACTACACATTTTGTTTCCAGATTTTAACCTAAACATTATTGTAAGCTTGAAACTGAATGTTAATGATGTCACCCTATAAATGAGGAGATTAAACACACAGAAATTATTCTGGATTCTAGGCCATATTCTGACTGGTTTCAAAGCCTGTTCATAGAAATTGGATAACATCAATAGTATTTGTGTCTTCAGTAAAGAAATTGGCTATGGCTGTAGTAGGAAGTTGTGATGTCTTCTGACCTTCTAAGCCAGTTTAGGCTTTTAGAGTTACCAATTAGTAACAAAATTATATTGTCATAATTAATAACATTCACATTAAAATAGTATGAAGTATGCTCATGTATTTCTATTATTCATCACAAATATACATATACTTTTGGAACATTCTTATAAATGCCTACTGCTAGCCTTTCTCAAATCATATAATGTCAATAAAATTTTATATTTGAAGCTGTGTGATCTTTTTATAGTCTTTTTATTAGTTCAAATGAGAAACAAGGCTGCTTCACATGTCAATCCTTTCTCCCTCTCTCCCCTCCCCCCACCGCCCCCCCAG